ACTACCCTGACATTGCTAAGGTCAGTGGAAAAGTACAACCCAATCAGCATGGGTGACAAATGGTCCAGAACCTTCAGGAATGAGGTTGTGGGTCACTGTCCCAGGAAAAGGACCGAGATATGCTGAGGGGCCTGCAGACACCAAGGGGATACAGAAGTCACAGTGTAAGAAGGTAGTGATAGACACCAGCTCCGACCTCCTGAGCACTCACAGAAATGAGGAATTTCCACAGCGCTCACCTAACAGGTTTCCTGTGTAAAATGATGGGGATAGGCTTAGTGTTTTTAGTTATATATGGTTAAACCCGTGTTATAATGTTGTCATAAAATGTTAGGAGGAAGCATCACCCCGAGAACTTGCCCTGGCTTCTGGGGAGGGAATCAGTGTGTCTGTCTGCACCCAGGAGAGCTGCACCCCGACAGCTGTGACTGTGGACTTGTCTTTGTATCCAGAGCCCACGGAGTTTAAAGAAACGTGTTTGTGGTCAAGTTGTCAAGGGTAGATGTGACAGTTAATCGGCTGTGTCAACTTGATTAAGAAATGCCCGACTGCCTTGGGTCAGCACAGTTCTGGGTGTGGCTGAGGGACTCACTACAGACAGGAGACCCACCCTGGACCTCACCTCCCCTTCTCCTGTTTCCCTGCAGAGGACTCAGAGCAAAACAGACTCGGGAAAGGTCTCAGTGCTCCCATTTATTGCTGCCCTCACACATTGGAAGTGTTCTTTAATGAACAGGTCAACCACTCGTGTCATTAACTTCAAATAAACCAAATGTATATTGTGAGTCTTAGTGAATATCCTGGAAAGATGTAAAGAAACATCTACCTCTGTAAAGGACCAGCTGTCCAAGGCACGACTCAGACACTCTCTTGTTACAGACAAAGCAAAACTATTTTTCTAACCTACTATTTATTGTGGGACTGTTAAAATAAAGGCAGGATCAGAGGCAAGAGGGGTCTTGGGGGAAGCTGTGTGTATTGTGCTCCATCTCATCCCTGTGAGAAGCCACCCCAGCCCACCCCTGCTGGAACAGAAGCTGAGCAGGAGGGAACACGGGTCAGCGTGGGGACAGGAGTCCTGCTGCCCAGGGCCAGCTGCTCTCCTCACAGCCCTCCCCGATGCCCACAGGTACATGGATACACTCAGAAGCCATTTGCAGGAGGTGACTCAGGTGATCTTGAGGTCACAGAGCGTGGGCTGGAGAAGCGTGGAGTGGCTCAGTCACCTGCAAGGCAGCTATCTCATGCTACAGGACAAAAGGATTATAAACTCAGGGCCACGGCTCCACGTGGCACCATCCTGAGAAGCCCACTGAGAGAGAAGCTCTCTGCACACAGGAGGGGATCTAGACATGGAGGCAGGGGATGGAGCTGAGGGCACAGAGAAGCAAAAAGCAGAGACGAATTACACATGAGCACCAGCTCCCCAGGGTGAACACAAACACCGGGCACAGCACCCAGGTCCTGATAAACACTAACAGAGGAGCCCGCTGCTCACACACAGGGCTCACAGTCAGACAGGGACCCTGCTGTGTCCCCTCTCCTCAGCCCATCTCTCCCACTTCAGGCCCCCCGGGGTCTCACCTTTACCAGCCATGAGAGAGGAATCAGAGCCCTGGACACTGTCACCCCCTGGGGGGAAAATGTAAGGTGACATCGTCAGAGGCCCAGCAGACATGGGGAAGGGGATCATGAGGTGGGGATCCCAGGGCTCCTGCTACAGAACCTCAAGCCACTCAGGAATCAGCCTGCCATACTTACTTGCAGCCTGAGTGTAACTCCCTCCCTTTACACCTGTGGGAAGCAAATGTCCTGTGAGAAGCCAGGGAGGAGGCGGGGCCTTGACAGCCAGGAAGAACTGCCCAGGTCAGGACCTCAGGGAAGTTTCCAGAACTGGGATGCAGACCCAGGGAAGGATCAGGAGTCATGAGGGGAGGACATGGTCAGGACCTGCACCAACTGCCCTCCTGAGGCTCTGTCCTAGCAGGGACCTTCCCCTCTGACTCTGCCTGCTGGAATCAGGGCCCCATCATAACTCTCTGGGTAACCAAGCTGTCCCTCATTGTGCCTGTTTCACAACAGGCTGTGCCCATGGCTCCGGGCTGGGCAAGCGTGTGTGTGTGCGGGGGGGGGGGGGCAGCCTACAGTGCAGTGGGGTGCACTTCTCCCTGGGACTGAAAGGAAGATGGTGACCCCAACCTACCTGCTCTCCTCCTCCTCCACACCACAAAGGCGACTCCAGGGAGCACAGCTACAAGGAGAATCACAGCAGCAACGACCCCCAGGATGGGGATGGAGGGCTGAGGAGGGGACTCTGGGGAGGGAAGGGGAAGGAAAGGGAGAGAAAAGAAGGAAAGAGGAGGTGAGGGGCTCTGCTTGTATCTAAGTGGACCCCAAAGCCTCATGCAAATGTGGGCGTTTGGAAGCTGACTGCAGTGTGGGGCTCAGAGCTGACTTGCTGTTAGGAGGTGGGGTCTGGGGGGAGAGGGGCCCACTGTGGGAGTGGCTTGGTAGGGTTTCTCTCCTTCCTCAGCTCCCCCATTACTCTCTGCTTCCTGTCTGCACTGCCCTGAGCAGCTCTCCATGGCCAGGACCCTCTGCCCTGCAGTGCTGCCTGGGAACAAGCTGAGTTTTAACTGAAATGTCTACAAACTTGGGAGCCAAAATAAGTCCTTTCTCCTTTAATTTTTGGGCACCAGGTATTGTGTCCTAGCAATGACCAACATGGACCCTGGCCTCAGCTCTCCAGCCCAGCCTGCTGGGTGTCTCCAGAAAGATTCCTGCCTTCAAACACAAGAGCTCCTGTGCCGTCTCCCGTATGTCTTAATCCCTTTCTTGTTCCTGAGACAACCCTACACCTCTATGTTAAAGAAGAAAAGATTCATTTCTGTTCAGTGTGTAGAGGTTTCAGTCCACAGTCAGGAGACTTCAAGGCAGGGAGGCCGGGCAGGGCCATCACAGAGGAGAAACAGCCCACAGCATGCAGGCAGGAAGCAGCAAGCAGGCAGCTTCCCCCTCTTCACTGCACTCAGGCTGTGAGGCTGTCGGTGGATCCCACTCACACCCAGGCTGGGTCTGCTGTCCTCCCTAATCCACTCAGCCACACCCAGAACAGCAGAGTGATCCAGGCATCACACCCTGCATCCAGGGTCACACACCTGTATGCAGCCACCTCTGATGAACCTCACTTATGAGCAGGAGGATTTGGGGCATTATCTAGACACAAGGCATACCACCCCCCTTACCCCATCTCAGGGCGAGGGGCTCAGACAGCCCCTCATGCTGCACACGGCACACGTAATTCTGCTCCTCTCCAGAAGGCACCATCACAGCCACCCACTTCTGGAAGTTTCCATCCCCATCAGGCCTGGGCTCCACCAGCTCCATCTCCTGGGTCAGCTCCTGCCCATCCCGCTGCCAGGTCAGGGAGATCTCCTTAGGGTAGAAGCCCAGGGCCCAGCACCGCAGGGTGACCTGTTCCTTGGAGACGGGGTGGCGGGTCACGTGTGTCTCTGGAGGGTCTGAGGGTAAAACAGGAAAATTCAGGCTCTTTGCATACTTCCTGGGCCACTCTAGGCAGCGCTCCTGTGACCATCCTGAGAATAGATAGGACAAGTGTAGTTGGGTTGGCTGCAAACCTTGGACACCAGGCTGGACACAGGCAGCTGGGATGATTTATTCGTCAGAGAGTTCTAGAATCGGGGTGAGTGGGCCCTGGGAGGAGGCTCTAGGTCTCTGGGGGAGGGAAGGAACCTTTGCCCTGAGTAGGTGGAGACTGAGAGGCCTGAGTAAGCATAGTCTGAGCTCCACAGACTCTGGGTGTGGGGCAGAGAATAAGCCTCAAAGAGTTCAGGTTCACAGCCTCCTGAAGGGCAGGTGTGAGCTGCACCTCAGGGATCTTCCCCTCTCAAGAGGGACAGACTCTTCCTCTCCTGCGAGAAGGGGGCATCAGGGGAGATCTGCTATCAGTGTGCAATCCCAGGGGTGCTCTTCCCAGGACAGGAGAGGGCAGCACTACTGGGAAGGGTCCCGTTTTCCTCCCCGGGAGACACCGGCCCAGCCAGAGCGCAGATGGGGAGGTCCTCAGGGCCTGTACCTGCGCGCTGCAGCGTCTCCTTCCCGTTCTCCAGGTATCTGCGGAGCCACTCCACGCAGGTGCCCTCCAGGTAGGCCCTTACTTGCTCTGCCGCACCGGCCTGCACCAACTTCCGCTGTGAGATCTGAGCCGCAGTGTCCGCCGCCACCCAGGAGCTCAGGTCCTCGGCCAGGGCGATGTAATCTTTCCCGTCGTAGCCATACTGCATGTACCCGCTGAGGAAGCGCCCGTCTGGCCCCAACTCGCAGCCGTACATCACCTGGAGGGTGTGAGAAGCTGCCCCGCCCCCGCCGTCAGCCCCGCCCCCGCCGTCAGCCCCGCCCCGCCGTCAGCCCCGCCCCGCCGTCAGCCCCGCCCCCACCCGGGATTTTCCTCCCAAACTGAAAATGAAACCGAGTCGCGGTCCCCGCGCTTCCCGAGGCCGGGGTGTCCGCACGAACCTCGGACGTGGACACCCGGGACCACTGAGACCCTCTGTGGGGCGGGCACACCCCTGACCCGGCCGGGGTCACTCACCGTCCCCGCTCTGGTTGTAGTAGCCGCGCAGGGTCCGCAGGTCCACTCGGTTAATCTGTGCGTTGCCCTTGGCTCTCTGTGTCTCTCCGTCCCAATACTCCTGACCCTCCCGCTCCATCCACGGCGCCCGCGGCTCCATCCTGGGACTCTCGGCGTCGCCGTCGAAGCGCACGAACTGCGTGTCGTCCACGTAGCCGACCTCCATGTACCGGGGCTCCCCGCGTCCGGGCCGGGACACCCCGATCTCGAAGTAGCTCATGGAGTGGGAGCCTGCGGGGCGGGGCGGTGAGACCGCGACCTCCTCCCGGCCGGCCCGCCGCTCCCGCCGCCCTGCGCCCGCACTCACCCGCCCGGGTCTCGGTCAGGACCAGGGCCCCCGACAGCAGCAGGAGGAGGGTTCGGGGCGCCATCACTGTCATCTCGGGGCGGAGGACTGAGCTCCTGGCCCTCTGTGAGGACTTTATAACCGGATTCGCGGCGACGCTGATTGGCTGCGTTAGGAGCCGCCAACCAATGCGGGTGAGAAGCGGCGTCGCGTCACCAGCCTCCAGGCAGAAGGGCCCGACACGGGTTGGCAGAGGGAGAAGTGAAACCAGGGGAGTCCTGAGCTGGGCGGGGCTGTGTCCACCCTGGGCGCTGCCTTGGGCTTCAGACCAGCCGGCCACCGCCCAGAACGCGGACCTTGCTCACCGTTCTCGTGCACAGGTGGCAAGTGCCCTGGGCGGTGAAGATCTGTGCCATAAACCTGTGTAAATAACCGTGTGTAGCTAATAGGTGCACAGGAGCCCATGCTGGGAGCGCGCTTAGCTTTTATTCCGTTATGCAGAAAAGCTACGCTGGGACTCACAGGCTTCAGTGATTCACTATGACCTTCTCAGGAAATAGTGGGTTTTCTGGGTGGTTCTGGTACAGATCTCTAATAAGTGCCAAGCCTAAGAAGGGTGAATAAATCTTCATTCTCAGATTTATCATAAGGAGGGGTTATGGGTGGCAGTTCCCAGCAGTTTTTCTTGTCCAGGACACAGGGGGGAGGATCCCTTATGACAGGGCCAGGACAGGGTGGGGTCAGCAGGCTCCTTTTGTCCTTCAGCACAGCCGGGCCCTCTCTGTGTACCCTGGGGGTCTGCGGTGGTATCCCCCACCTGCCAGGTCGTCACTGCCCCTGTGCATGTCAGAAATGAGCCGAGGTCAGTGTGCAGTCCCAAGGTGACCCAGACCCCTCCCAGGTTCTCCCCTGGCCGACTGTGTTGGGGGAGACAGGGCCGTGCGGTGGGGATCGAGTGTCCACGTGAACTCCCACCCACACCACCCCTCAGCATCCTGCCAATTCCTCCTTCCCAGTGTGGTCTCCTGAGTGTGTGGCTGTGGGGTCCTCTGCAAAAGGAGCAGGGAGTCCTCCTCGAACATAGGGTATTTGTGATAGCGTCTCTGGGACCTTCTTCCTACAGGCGTGGACAGCTCTTCAGTCCCTGGACCCTAAATGTGAACACTGGCTCAGTCCTCGCAACTGAGAACGGGACAGTCCCTCTCTATTGGCTGAAATGTCACCCTCTTGCTGCCTTCAGTTGCTTTTAATCATAGACACTTGGAATGGTTGATACATTGTGGCAGCGACCCATGGGGCTCTTGAGGTTCTTGGGGGGAAGGAGACCCCAGGGAGTGAGAACATGAAGAAGAGAGGAAGCTGGGGTCAGGTGGAGCCCTCATCCTCCTGATGGGCGGAAAGGAACTGCTCAACCACGGCAGCACCTTTATTTATACCCTCCATACAACTCCGAAGACGAAGCTCAGTTTCAGCCCACTGCCTAGCAAGCTGTTTACCCGGCTGGCCTGGTCCATTGGGTTCCTGGTGCTGGAACAGCTTGTTTATATGATGGACAAATGGACAAACATGAACAGAGGATCTGTACATATTTGAACACACATAGAAACAAGTTTCTCAGTGTTTAAGAGAAATAAGTTCCCGGGGAGGGCCTGTTACACACTTGTATCCCGCCCTAGTGCTGAAATAGCTCGATTCTTACACCCTGTGTCCTCCAGCACACCATGCCCTCAGGGTGCTTCTCAGGCACTCTGTGCCCGTGGGCACTCCTGTAGGGGCACAGTGCTCTTGGCTCTGCACAGGTGAGTGATCACTAGCTCAGTGGACTCCCCACAACAGCTTAACAGGCTGGACAAACAGATACACAGGCAGGCTGACAGACATCTTATACAATCACAGGGTACTCAAATATATGTTAGCCAAATTGAATCACATTAACCTTTTACAGTTGTAGAATTTGTAACTATTAATAGGCTTGTCAGATTTGTGGTAAGTTAATTAGCAGACTCTCTTGTAAAAGAATTTGGAAAGGACAAAATCTTATCTATAATTCATATCTATTGTTGATACAGGACTGAGCATACACTCCTATCATATATTTAGACCTTTGGTTTTATTTTTGGTTACCATTCCTGAGCATCCTGGGTCAGTTAAGGCTGGTTCTAGCTTCACGCTATTCTATGGGCTTTTGCGTGGTCTCTGAGGCATCACTGTCCACAGGACTGAGCATCAGCTTCGTGAGAGGTGGAATCACCTCCTTCTCTGGGTTTGGGTCCATGATACAGCCAGGCAGTATGCTCTGGCACCCATTTAGCATTTCCTGGAAAAACACAAGCACACCCTGCACTTCAAATTCGCATTGTCCAGGATGAAGCTCTCTCTGAAGGACCCTTCCCGGTTCTTTCTTTTACCTGACTGATTGTCTTGCTGCTGCTGTGGTTCCCTCCTTAGCAGGATTTAAACTTTAACAGTACATACTGCCTAATGAAGTCTAGGTAAAACTGTCCTCTTTTTGTTTTTGTAAGTACATTTTGAGCAAGTTTAACAATTTTGAACCTATATGTAGGTTAAATGGAATTGTTTGCATAAGGCAGAAGCGTTTTTCTGGAAGCTGGCAGGGGAAGCAGAAGCCTGCTGAACAGTGTCTGAGGGAGTAACAGGTCATGGCAGGGAAGACAGCAAACGTAGCAAGAGCTCAGGAGGGGAAGCAGAAGAACCGGGTCCCTCCAGGAGTCACTCAGCGAGCTTCCAAACTTCGAGTTGACACAGTGTATCAGCCATTGCCAGCCAACACTGCCCCTGACACACTGCTTTCAATCAGTTTGTAGCTAGCATGTTTATTTTTAACATTTTACAACTTCAACATCTTAGCACAGACTGAAGAACCAATATTAAGTCTTCCAACATTATGTTACATTTCCCCCTTACAGCTGACACAGGCAACATTGTTTCTCCCCTCCCCTGTCTGGGCCAAGCCCCGCTCCTGGAGCTCTTTGGTTCCCTCCCCTGCCTGGAGGCTGTGAGAAGTGGTGAGAGGAGCAGACAGCCCCGTATCTCCTGTTAAACAATAGTTTTACAGTCTGTGGAGGCCCAGGGAGACTTACGTTTGCTCATTTTCTCATCAGCCGCGCTCTAAGCCGTTTTCCCGTTTCCTCCCATGTATGTAAACTTAGAATTCCTTCCTTTGGAAACAAACTCAAGAAAGTTAGCAAGCTGTCTGGTGCCAGTGCACTGGGAATTAAAGTTGACACAAGAAAGCAGAAAAGACCTAAATAAATGTAGAATTATATTAATCATGAATTTGAAGCAAGTACCCTTATTGGGATTTACACTATGAGATGCTGAGGCTCACTGCAAAGCCTTAGTGAGCCAGTGACATGCAGGAGGCAGCCTCTCGCCAGCCTGTGAAAGCCGATTATTGGATTTTTAGAAGTTTCTTATGCTGGTTGTTGTATTGGTTATTTGAAATTGTCTTTTGTGAGAATATTTTGTGAATAAAAATCAGCAAACCACCAATCAGGACCACATTACCCCACCACCACCACCACCAGGAGCCGGCCGTGCACCGCAGGGAAGCTGTCCGAGCCCGAGCACCCCTAAGCTGCTGCAGGCCCCCCTGGAAGTGTTTCTTCTGGAGCAGGAGGGCCTTCCACATCAGTTTTTCATTTACATCGAGTGGCCCAACGAGACCACGATCTACACTGTGGACGGAGGCCAGCAGGTTGTGTTGAAGGGACAGATGGTGGCTGTGCTGTCCCCACAGGTGCAGCAGCACAGCTACCGGCAACATGTGCCCTCCCCTCCACAGGGAAGACAAACACCTTTCTTCTTTCTTTTTCCTTTAGGCTGTGACCTGACGACCTGAGTGATTATAATTTGTCCAGGACTATCGGGGATCGGAAGTTTAGTAACCGGGTAGACATGAGGAAACCCTCTCCGCACTCCCGCCCATCTGGCTTCTTTCAGCATCAGTTGCAAGGGAGACAGAGAAAACCGCTCTGCTCCCTAGAGCCGAAAGTTTCAACCCGTGATGCAGCAAAATTTCTCTGAGCTGAGAAGGTGGAGATGGCTGATTGTGGCTCAGTTAAGGTTACTGAGCTGGCTGTCATTCCGCCATCTTTTTCCTGCTTGGGACTTGATTTTAAAATAGTGCCTGGGGACCTACTCTTTTAAAGAGTTTTTGTGTGTCAAAACAAATCAACAACAAATGAAATGAAATGAAAACCCACAGAATGGGAAAGACAGCCAGCAACCCCTGGCTATAAGTGCTTTAGTCAAAGCACTTATATCCGGAACATACAAAGTATTCAAAATCATCAAGCCCCCAAATTCAAAGACCCTCTCCAAAAATGGGCATCTGAGATGAACACACAGTTCTCAGAGGACGATATACAAATGGCAAATAAATACATGAAGAAATGTTCACCATTACTGGTCATTCAAGAAATGCAATTTAAAACAGCACTGAGATTTCATCTCATTCCAGAAAGAATACCTGCCATCAAGAAATCAACTAATAGTGGCTGGGGATTTAGCTCAGTGGCATAAGCGCCTGCCTTGCAAGTGTGTGGTCAAGAGTTTGATCCCTGGTACTGATTTTAAAAAAAAGACAAAATCAAAGCAAAACAAGAAAGAAATCAACTGATAACAAATGTTGGCAAGACTGCGGAAAAACGGAACACTGCTCCACTATTGGCGGGAGTGCAGACCAGTGCAGCTACGATGGAAATCAGTATGGAGATTCCTCAACAAGCTAGGATTACAAGTTCCATTGAATCCATCTATTCCTCTCCTGCCTATTTTCCAAGAAAAACTGAAAAGGTCATGCCTCAGTGCACCCAGGTTTATAAAGCAGCACAATTTGTACTAGCTAAATCTTGGAAACAACCAAAATGCCCATCAACCACAGAATGGAGGAAAAAGGTGTGGCATTTTTTCACAATGGAATATTACTCAGCTATGAAAAAGGATGTTCTTGAGGCTTTTATAGGTAAATGGAGGCAACTTGAGTCTGTCCGCATAAGTGAAATAAATCACACTCACATGTGTAAATATAGTATTGTCTCTCTAGTATAAAAATAATAACAAAAAACTGAAAAAGTAATAAGATCCAAAAAGTATACCAGATATTGTGATATGACAGGGAAAGAAAGTGCTGTAAAGGATATCATTCCATGTATAAGTGTGTAAGACAGATAACCGTACTACTAAGTTTTTGTTAGTTCATCAGATTTGTTTACACTGTCATTCTTTGATTGTCCAATTTTTATGCTTTGATTTTTGTGACTTGAGCAACTATTTCCAAGAGAACAGTATGTAATTTATTAACTAGTGATTTCTTACTGCTTTTTAAAATTCTGTATTATTTCTACCCTTTTTTGTTTTTTTTCTCTAAATAAAATAAAATAGTTCCTGAAACCAATTCCATTATAGTTGTGTCAAGAAGTTTACGATTACTAAGACCATGTCCAATGCAGATCCACCAAAACAATGAAACTTCTAGAATCAAGCATACAACATACAGTTCCACTTACATTTGCAATCGTTTAGAATTTGTCCCATAGTGAGGCAGCTGATATAGTCAATATAACACTTTTATTTTTCTTTGTTTCTTTTTGCAGGGAAAGGTTTTTCACAAGCCTGTTTATAGCTGGCTCTAGAGAATAAGTGATTGTTTAAGTGTCCCACTCTTCACACCTGATGCAGCCAATATCACACACTCCCGGGATGACCCCTGACCTATACCAATGACTTCTCACATTGGTGTTTGCAAATGGGAAATGTCCCCTCAGCCTCCATCTCTTCCCCTGTCCATGTTCAAGTGCCACATGCTGAAACCCATGCAGCTCTTGAGGTTATTGGGGTGAAGGACTGTGAGAGAAGGAGAAAATAGAGACAAAGCTGGGGTCAGGGGGAGCCCTTGTCCTCCTGATGGGCAGAAAGGAACCCCTCAAGCACTGCAGCACATTTCTTTATAAACTCCTGAACCCCACACACTCCCAAGAAGAATGTCAACTTCAACCCTGCTGCCTGGCAACCTGTTTGCTGGCTGGCCTGGCCCCTTGCCCTCCTGGTGCTGGAACAGCTTGTTTTCATGGCTTGTTTTGAGCCTCTGTGTTTCAGGGCTGGCCTTGCCCAGGTCTTCCTCTTCAGGTGGGTCTTCCTCACCTGGCTTCTGGTGCAGACTGTTTGGTTCCCACCTGGGTCTCTTCAGCCTTCTGGTGTGGACTCTTTGGTCTTGCAGTGTAGGCTCTTCAGAGGTATTTGCAGAGGTATTCGGATCCGGGGGTTGACCATCCAAATGAAAAAACCCAATTCATAACGGGCATCTGAGGTGAATGCACACTCCTCAGATGAAGGAGTACAAATGACAAATATATTGAAAAGTATTCAGCATCACTGGTCATTCAAGAGATGCAAATTAAAATGACACTGAAATTCCATCTCACCCCAGAAAGAGCAGCATTATCAAGAAATCAGCCTATAACGAAGGCTGGCAGGGCTGTGGGGAAAAGGAGCCCTTCTCCACTGTTGGTGGGAGTGCAGACTGGTGCAGCCACTGTGGAGATCAGTGTGGAGCTTCCTCAACATCTAGGATGGGAGGTAACACTGGACCTCTAATGACCCTTCTTGGTATTTTCCTTAAAGAATTAAAAGCATCATGGCATAGTGACAGATGAACACCCACGTTTATAGCAGCACAGCTTGTGACAGCTGAGTCTCATCAACAGCCCAAATGCCCACCTGCTGGTGAATGTATAAAGAAGATGTGGTTTTTAGTACAGTGGAGGCTACTCAGGCATAAAGACCTTCCTAGGTAAGCGGATGCACCTCGGGACCACACACTTACGTGAGATAAATCAGACACACACGTGTAAACACCGCATTGCTTCTCTGCTGTGAGAAACTGACAGTGTGAATAAGGAACAAATATAAAATAGGAATTGTGACATAGGAGGAAAGTGCTCAGATGGAAATGGGAGCAGGGAACAGGAGAGGGGTGAGAAAAGCAGGGAAAGTAAAAACAAGTGAGGAGAGAAGGAAAAAGGGAGACAGAGCTTCTGTGAATGTGGGGAGGAGGGGGAGGGTGGGGGGGAATGTGGGGGAACCCAAAGTCATGTGTAGGTGCAGATTCTCCACGATGAACCTGATCACTGTGCATCTTCTAATATGTAACAAGAAAGTCTGACTGAACAAACACTAACAAGCTTTTGCCCCTGGATGTCATCAGGAGGGGAAAGACAGTTCCCGCAGTGGGAGCGTGTGTTTCAGATCATTTACCCAGCAAAGGTCCAGCACCGAGACTACAGAGAGAACACTTACAACCAACAGAGAGACACAAACTCCAATTGAAAATGACTTATTTTTGAATACTTCTTTTTCAAAAAAGATATAGAAGTGATAAATCTGCAAATAAAATCCTTAGACACGAGGATTATGCAAATGAAAACTGAGACAGAACTCCAACCTCACTAGAACAGCGAGACTAAAAACAAAACCTGATTATTAGCAGTGTCCATGAGGTTGCATTGCACCTGGATCCCTCGGGTGTAGCTGCTGGATCATAAAGTGGCACCGACACCTTAGCAGCTCTCTGAATGTTAGATACACAGTTACTGTATGAGCCAGCAAATCCACTCAGGAGTATAAACCTAAAGAAATATAAATATTCGTTTAAAAAAAAAACTTGAATGCTCACAACTGAATTATTTTTAAAAGCCCACTAATCATAATGGCCATCTGTCAGGTCGGCCTCCCGGGGAATGGAAAATAAAATCAGTCCCTTAATCCGTGGTGGTGTCACATGTTTTCCATTAGCTTGTACATGTGTACTCACAGAGGTTTGTTCTGTCTGTCTGAGACAGGGGCTCACTATGAAGCCCAGTCTGGCCTCCAACTCAACCCTCCTGCCTCAGCCTCCTGAACGCTAGGATGACAGGCATCCACCACCGTGCCTGGCTCTTGACAGGTCTTCATATTTTGAAAATGAATGTTAAATGTCACAGAACAATCACAGTTTCTTCCATTGATTACTAAATTGCTTTGTGTGGTTGCAACTTGCAGATCACTTTTTACAGACCCAAACAATGATTCAAGTCAACTCAGTGTGTGGAAACCTCACTGGACACCTCTCGCAGAGTGTAAAAATACCTGGAAGCCTCCCTGCAATTCCTCATACTTTCAGGGGGCGGCGTAAAATTACACAGCTTCCTTGATTTTATTTTTACTGTTAATTTAAGAAAAACGTCTCATTGAGTAAAACTTTGAATTTGTAGAATTCTCTCTTGTTACTTTTTTTGATGAGGGCTCAGAGTGAACCTAGTAAACGGTGAGAAAAATCTTCCTCTTAACAAGGTGAGAGGTCAAGGGGTGTTCACAGCCCAGATGGGGACTAGGGTGTACCTGGTGGGGTTCAAGGTTAACACATAGGGACATATGGCTCCGTCCCTAAGAGGGTACGGGAGTGCTGACCCACGGAGTGTTCTGTGCAGACTCGGTGACACTTTTCCAGTGGCTCACAGCAGTGATCATCAAGTGTTTTAGAGGTGGGTGGGGTGGCACAGCACCACGGAGGCTGAGGCAGGAAGATCTCCAGTGTCAGCCCCAACTGAGCTACACAGTGAGTTCAAGCCTGGCCTGAGCTTCATAGAGAGACCGGGTCTCAAGGAAACCAAAGACAACTTTTTCTCTGAGTGTCTCCTAAAGAACTTGTTAAACTCTATGGGCTTTCTCCATATTTTCTAGTTAACTACCGTTTTTATAAGTTCATTCGAAATGATTTTGTCAGGTCATGGTCATCTATGGAAAATGATTATTTTTCAAGGTGTCAACCTAAACAGTATAAAAACTTGGCACCCACCACTGTGTGCTTTTAAGATACGAGAAATAAAATTTAAGACGTGAAAATTTTACATCGTTCTCTTCTTTTCCCTTGAACTTGAGTTTTTTTCCATTCTGATCCTAGAACAGTGGTTCTCCACAGGAGCAGAAGGCAGAGCCTCTGGGGCGAGTGTGGGGTAATTCGCTTACCCTGGATGTTCAGCGCTGTCTGGAGGACGACGCCGGGGCAGCTGCAGGGCACAGAGAGGCTGCTGAACACCCGGAGCAGCGAGCAGCGCCAGCACCAGAACAACACAGAGTGACCTGAGTCCGGGGGTCACTGTTTCCAGACCAGAAAGCACCCCTGAAGTGATGCACTGCTTTGCAAACCAGGAGAGGAAGAGGGCTGGAGAGAGGGCAGGGGATGGGGAATAAAGGAGGAATCAAGATGCACCGTGCACAGGTGCAAATCCCCAGGATGGATGTGATCCCTGTGTATGTCTAAAATGTACAGATAAACTTTATAAAAATTATTATGCAAGCACTAAAAGTACTTAGTGCTAGTACTGTGTACAAAGGTTAGTAGTATTGAAAGTTATTTTGAGGTCAATCTTTTCTCCTTTAAAGACACCCACTCAATGACATACATGCTAAAATAATTTTGGATTGAGCAGAAGGGCAAATACAAAGAATTGATCAGTGTTAAAACACCAGGGACAGGACGGCCAGGGTAATAATTTCAAACATATTTTAAACTTCTGACATTAACAAAGGAGTATGAAAACATAAAGCCACTTAATCCACTGGTCACAAAGTAATGTAAACTGAGGAATCTCCTTTGCAGACTGAAGTCTTCAGACCCGAGACTAATTCTGAATGAAAACAGTGACATTCTGGTTTACGAGCATTTGAGTTGAAACTTTCGCAGGGGCGCTGTGTGAGGCTCACTGTGTCAGACGCTGGAAACAAATTCAACTTGTGAACGTTCTCCTGGAGTGGAATTTGTTCTCCATTGGAGACTCACCATATCTGACCAAGACATTTTGGAGAAGTCGGTGAAGCAACCACAAATAAAGGACAGGAATGCAGACAAGGATCACAGAGCATGAGGGGAGCACGTTCTGCTGGGGTGGACGTGTCAGAGCCCCTGGCGCAGCTCCCACGGGAGAAGACCCGCCTTTGGCTTTCATAGTCTTTCTTTAATAAACAAAGAGCATCAACAGGGAAAGCAGTAAAATTTACATTGCAGTTCAAATATTAGATAATGAAAATGTTTATTTTACAATAGGGGTCGGCAACCCAAGTTCAGGTGCCTCATGCTGTTAGGAGCAGCTGTACTGGAACACAGCTGCCCTCGTCCACATCTTTATTTTCTGTGGGTGCTTTTACGTCCCGGTGACACTGCTGAGCAGCTGTGACCGAGACTGTATGGTCTGCAGAGCCCTCCAAACCGTTACTCTTTGGACCTTTCCAGAAAAAAACTACCAGCTCCTGGGGAACGAGAGCAAAGTGAGCCCCGCATTGCCGTAACAGTCTCTTTATGAGAGCGACGGTGGTCTGCATTTTACTACCAGTGAGCTGAGCTGTTAAGAGCCAGACGAC